GCCGCCCGGGCTCTCCCGCGGCCCCGCGAGAATGAAGGACGGGAAGGGAGGCGGGGTCCGCCTTCATGCGGCCGAACGGTCCTCCCATGCGGGGCCCGGTCGGGAGCGGCGAGGGGGCGAGCCTTACACAGGCCCTCGGATGGCTAGTAGACCAGGCCCGACTGATCTCCGCCTGCGGGGCGGCGTCGGCGGACTACGGCCCCTCCCTCAAATATCGGGGCCCCTGCACCTGGCCGCCATGCTGCCCGGAAGGAGAGGAGATCGCGCTTTTGGGCCAGCCGCCCGGGCCGCCACCCCCCGGGGGGGGGGGGGGGGGGCAGCTGAAGACGGCGCACCGGGATGTCCCGTGTGTTCGCGGCACCAGCCTCCCACGCCCTGAACGGGGCCGGGCTCCAGCGAGACACCAGGGCACCGAGAGAGGGGGACCGAGGCAGAGACCGGCTCATGGGGGATTAATATCGCCGCCCGCCTTTCCGGCTTACCACATAGTGGCCGTTGGCCCCGTGTGCCTGTGTGTTTGTATGTCGGCGTATCGGTGCGTCTGTGTCTGTGTCTGTGTCTGTGTCAGTGTCTGTGTCTGTGTCTGTGTCTGTGTGTGTATCTATGTCCGCGTCCTCGCCTCGCCCCCGCGCGGCGGTTGTCCACCATGCGCCCTGGTGTGGCATCCTCGCGGCTGCGGTGGTCTCGGAAAAAACTGTCAGCCGTCCCCCCGCCCCCCGCCCCCCGGTGGGAACGCCTTTCGGCTTGTCGACATGTGCAGGGCCCGGGGCGCGCGCGCGCGTGTGTGTCTGTGTGTGTGCCGCTCGCACTTGGCCCCCCCTCCCCCCCGGGGGGGAGGGAGCAGGGCGCCCGCCCTCTCCGTGTCCGCCGGCGTCATGCCGCCGCCAGCCCGCGGAAGAGGCTTTTTGGCGCACCTCCCAGCCGACCCGGACACAGACCCACGCCTTACACCCCTATGTCACCGTGCGCCCCCGAGAGAGGAGAGAAGGAGGGAGCTATGTCTCCCGGCTGCGCCGTGTTTGCGTGTGCGCGCGCGAGCACGTCCGCTCGCCTCCTTCCCTCCCCTTGAGGGGGCAGCCCGTCGAGCCTCTCCTCCTCTTGCGTGGAGGATGGCCACCTGGCGCCCTCTTGCGCGGACCCTGCCATGCCGCTGTGGTCTGCGTCGGCGGGGGACAGTCGGCCTTGGCTCCATGCCACTTCCCCGCTCCTCTCGACCCCATGTCTGAACCATTGTATCCCCGGGGCCCCCTGTGTGTATGTGTGTGATTGTGTATGTGTGTGTGTGTGTGTGCGCGCGCGCGCGCACGCATCTGTGCTGGTGTGTGTGTGTGTGTGTGTGTGTGTGTGTGGGTGTGCCTGTGTGCTCTCACACACGCGTCTCCGGACCGCGTGTCCGCACACTCGCAACGCCATTTGGGGAACCACCACCCGTCCAAAGCCCCCGCCGCAAGGTCAGACACTCTCCCCCAGCAGTACCCCCCGCTGCCCCGCTGCCCCTCGCCCCCCCCCCCCTCCCGGTGCCCTCCTCCCGCCGGCTGTCCGACATACGTGTTGTGACTTCTCGTCGTGGTCCCCGCGGGCCCACTTCCATGCTTTTTCCCCGCACTTGCATGCTCATTCTCGGCCACACGCCAAGTGCCGTCTCCGCCCGCCGAGGCTTTCCTCCGTTTGCCTCGGTCCGGTGCCGCCCCCCCCCCCGCTGCCCCGCCCCCCCCCCCCCCCCCCCCCCTCCCCCTCTACCCCCCCGCAGCCTCTCCCTCACTTGTTCGCTCCTTGCGAGCGGCCCCC